ATATATATATTAGTGCTGTCCGTTTCGCGCGTTATTATCAGCATTAATTTAAATCAATTTTAACATGATTAAATTTTCTATCGGGAGATTAATGCAGCAACACGTCACCGCGGATGTTACGTTGCTCCATAAATAAACGGGAAACAAAACAAGAAGCGCGCTGCACATGTCCACGCCCATGTCTGTTTTGCCAGCCACGGCAGTGCGAGACACCGAAAACTGAAACTTAAAGAGTTCATGAATGGAAAGTTTACTTTTAAAAACTTGCCAGATGGTTCCACTGACAAGACCAAAATTACCTGCATGTTTTGCAGTCGTAAACTGAGCTATCATCGTAGCACGTCGAGTCTGAAATACCATTTAATGGCCAAGCACACAGATGATGTGAGTACTCCGCCCCCTCGTCTAGGACAGACAGCTATGGAGAATTTCAAAGCGAAGAAAATGGATAACACGACGAAGAACAAATTTGCTGAAGCCATAGCTAAACGTATGGCTACTGCATGCAAGCCTGTCAACATTGTCCACAGCTAGTTGTAGCTGAAATCATTCGCATTGCATCTAATGACTCCACTATGGATTGCCAGCGAGACCCTTCATTACAAGCTCTGTACAGAAATTGTACGAAGCGGAGAAGACACTGTTTCGGGAGAGAAATAAGAGACTAGGTTGATGAGCCTCTGGTGAATAAAGAGCAGGTAGCCTGTTGAGTACGACGTATGCCACTGACGCGATTGTTACTTGTTTGGAACTATTTTGTGTGGAAGGTTACTGTGTTCTGTGTCCATATAAATAAAGGGGGTGGCACTTCTCTGTGTTCGTCTGACAGTAACGGTGCGCTGAGGCACGTCGAGAGTTCAGCGGTGCAGTGGTAGCGACCACACTGAAAATAAAACGTCTCCAGTGTTGTGCGTTGAACCAAGTGTAGTCATCCGAAATGAGGTCTACACAAAACCATAGAGAGACTTCGGCGCAAAAAGGACCAACAGATTCAACATAGCCTGACTGCTGTGTTCAAAGCAAACTTGAGAAAAACAAAGTGTGCAACCATGGCTTAAATCCACTGTAGGCTGAGTACTAGTTTACCTTAGATGTGCACTTTATAATTTTATATTGCTGTGTTTTGATTCCCTCAAAAGAGCTGTTAAAGGAGCTGTTGTGTGACAAACTATTTTTTCACTGTTGTTGATGGACAGTAATATTGTGTGAGAGATTATTTGTGAAAAACTCATCCAAGTGAAAAATGTTCATGTAAAATTGAAAATCGAAATTGTTGTTTCAGTAAATATTTGCATTTTGCACATAGTAAACTGATCCATGATTCCATGTTGATGAGAGCATTAAAACGGGAAAAAATCAGACAAAAAATATAAAAGGAAATTTAGAAACAATAAAAAATGGTTGAGTAATCACGATTAATTATGAGTTCATTGTGACAGTTGCGTTTTTAATCCCGATTAAATATTTTAATCGTTATAATCGCTATATATATATATATATATATATATATATATATACATATGTCTATATACAGAGTCACCAGCCAGTGCACAATGGCTGGTGACCCTGAGAGAGGAGCACAGCAACCTCCCTGAACAGAACACAGTTACCATTACAGTGGCAGACATGTAGGAGAGAGTGTCAGATATGAATGAATGAATCTTTATTGTCATTACACTTTCGTGCAACAAGACATCACTTAACAGGCACGCTCCGCACAAGAAAAATTAAAAACAATGACGAACATGGGATACAGTGCAAAGGGCCTGTCGGTACTCGCTGTAAAGCGCCCCGAGATCTTAGTTAGAAGGGAAACCACTAGGGGAGGGGAGGGGTAAAAAAAACCACGCTCGAACTATACTCTTCTGAGGATAATTACAGTTCTAGGAGAAAAAAAAATACCCAAGCACATTTAACAAGCTTATGACAGTTACAACAAGTCACAAGACATAACATAGAATGAGGGGATGGATGGAAAGGGGAGGGGGGACGCGACGCGGCCCGTCCGACCAGCTGCTCAGTCCAAAACGAGCGCTCCGCAGATCAAGGTTACGTCACGGGGGGAAAACAACAGGAACAATAAAGGCGGTGATTCCAAGGGTGTGTATGCGCGCGTGATAGTCTGGTTGTGTGTGCGTATTCAGGCCGCAGCTGCTTCGTCAAAAGCCCCGTTCACACGGCAACGTTTGGTCCGACGCAGCTCCGAAATAAATCCAGTCGAGCGTTCACACGTGCACATTTGCTCCGGTGTAGCTCCACTAAAGAGCTTATACCGGACCAAATTTGATCCACCTCAGGGAGGTGGTTTAAAAATTTGCTCCAGAGCAAATGCTCGTTTGCGACGCTACGCCGAAACAAATGTGCACGTGTGAACGCAGCTGGATTAAATTTGCTCCAGAGCAAAGGCTCGCTTGCGGGGGAGTGGCCTCGCTACGCTCGCTACCAGACGCACGGAATCCGACCCCGGTCGACAGTGACGAGGGGGCCAGCGACACAGACGAAGCCCGGCCGTGGACCCCCATCCCCGGTAAAAGTGTCGGCGATTTAAGCGGTGAAGACAGCGCTCACGATCAAGATGAGAATCGAGAAAGCAGTGACGTAAGCCGAGCCCGATTTGCAGGCCCGAGC